CTTGCTGATATCCAGCAACGTATGGTGGAATCAGCTTAGCCACAGAGCCCCAAATTTCGGATATTGATTGTATCATGTCTTCCACGCTCACCCAACAATTATCTACCTCAGCCCTTATCGCATGATAACGTGACGGTAGCAAACTTACATGGAAACCAGCATGATCGTACCCTTCAACTGCACGAGGAACAATCGCTGCTTTGCTCCGACGAACTGCTTGATTGTTTTCCATTACAAAACGATTCAGAGGCTTCACAAACTTCGTTGACTACCATTACGAAGTCGAACAGGTTACTTACCAGCAACCTACGGATTCACTACCAATGGAACTGGATTTGAGTGGGTTGCTTCTATAACTCCACTAGCAACATCTCGAGGATAAAAAGATTCGAAGCACCTCGATCCATGAATTGCCTGCTGGAATTCCTATCGGACGCACTTACAATACTGCTCCTAACTTTTGTAACATCTACGCGTTGCGACGGTTCTGTAGCGTCGCAAACCGTCGCACCATTATAACTTCCTTGAAAGCGGGTAAAATGGAAATATCTTTACAGCAATAACCATGTGTATACCTACTAATATGCTTGAATGACAATAAGTTATTCCATGAAAACTATTGCCAATCCCTCGTCTAACTGTCTCGCCTCTCCTCATTCCCATTATCTTTCCAGTCTGAGATCAGCTCTTAGCTACCGCCTTGATGATTTTGCAGCGCGCCTCCCTTCGAGCCCTTCGCCAGCTTACGGGGCGGTGGTCAACCAACGCGTGAGAGCCCAGACAGAAAAGCACTACTTTGTGTTTTTCTGGGACTCTCACGCGTTCAGGGAGCACTAGGACTAAGTCTTATTAACTTCGTATATCAACACAGCCGAGTGTATCAATCCGGCCGATTCAACGGCAGCTGCGGCGCGATTGTCACTGGGTCAGATTTGCTGAAATCCCAAAAAAAAACCGTCGAAATCTACACCCTCGATGAAAAGGTTGCATTCCTCCATTTCATAACCTTTGAAGCAGTTTGAGGTAGGGTTAGATAGAGCTGGATTTCGCGGGATAAGACCTTATTTTCAGCATTCGCAAGAATTCTCTTGCTTTCCTTCCCACTTTCAGGGACCGCAGCTAAGGTATCACTACAGAGCGCTGATAGCACTAGTTCAATCCCGGAGTTTGCCTTCAACCGAATTATGAGGATTTGAAATGTACACCATTCGAGGAAACGCTCTACCTACTGTGGGCGGGCTTTCGTGACATCATAGATATTGCTCTCCAAAGCCCTTTTTTTACTACAGGCTTTCCGTATCGCGTGAAGGTTTTTTATTAAGCACCACAAGTTAAAGAACGCCCGTCTTCTCCGGCACAGGTTTCCTCATAAAATAGCAACACAGTGTACACGTTTAGGCATTGTTTCCAGTTTCCGGCTGCTCTATATAACCGAACTCAATACTTTCCGCCGGCACCACTCAATTCGCTATATGCCTCACCCGCTGTGAGCGGTGCTCCACCCAGCTGCCAGCTGAATTATGTTTTTTTTTCATTTTTGACCCATTTCCCACCAATTCCAAACTTGACCCATACTCTGCAGTTGGTTTGTAGCACCGAATTTCGTGACAGACAATGTGAGACACAGAGAGTCGTAACGCTTTATATATGGCAGACATATTATTATTTTTATCCTATCTACTGTTACATTATAGTCATTTATTTACTTATTTATTTATTTGTTATTTATTTATTTATTTATTTGAGACGCTGCTCGTAGGCAGACGTAAAAACTGCAATCACAATTACATATAATCAAGCATCCATATAATCACATTATTCAATAACGCAATAACTGCTTCTTTGCCGTACGTTTGAACAATACAAAAACCTGAGGAGTAAACGGCATATTGACTTCAAGAGAAATAAATGTTGAGCCAGCTCTACAAGCTCGAGAGTTTTAAGCTTGTTTTGGGAGTTACATAAGAAATCTTCTCCGACGACCCTCTAGTTCTAGAGTTAACTAATCGATAGAATTTGGATGAGTCAACTTTAGCGATACCACGCGATAGCGACACATATTTTAACACGTTGGAGCCCGCACAGGTTTTGGGAGTTGAGGCCTCGAGCGACCGCGGCGCCTACTCGAACGTCGCGGCTGCAGCCCACATGTGGGCTAGTCGGTCTCTCATGGCCGACAAGCTGCAGCCCGCATGTAGGCTGCATGTTCCCAAATTGTTTTTGGCGAGTTTTATGAAACACTTTGTTCTTCTTTAGGGAGTACATAAAAAATGAACATGTCATGCGCAACTTTGCAGAAGGGGTGCAGTAGAATTGGTAACACGCTGTTTAGCACACACTAGATATGAAGCGTGAACTATTCTTTCGCTTGAAAGGCTTCCATCCTAGGTTCACTTATGGAAGAGCTCTGCAACGTTTTGCACAAACGTAACCATCTAATCATTAGTCACTTGGGGAAGAATCGGTTCAATTACTTTAAATTACTTAGGTACAAGAACCTTCTTCTCCGACCCACGACGTTTGCTGTTTTATTTGGCCTTTCTTCATCATTTAATGTTGCAAGCGTAGTGAACCATTCGCAAGAAAGCAACAAAAAACCAATTGTTAGCTGAAGCCCACATGTGGGCTGCACGGTCCCTCGTGGCCGGCATGCTGCAGCCCACATGTGGGCTTCATGGTTGTCAAAGTGTTAAAAATCATACAAGATCATAGAGCTTTCGACGAGAATCTAGAGAGTGCAAGCTATATTCTTCTATTCCTGTGAGTTGAGTCTGGTATTCCAGAATAGACGAAATCTCCAGACTTGATAGAAAGCTTTCTCGTGAAATTGCTTTGACATTTATCTAACACTCTGATATCGTTTTCTTTAGTAGGACAAAAGACAGATGTCCCAACATTCCAATAGGCCTGATGTACGTCTTGTATGCTTCAATCAATCAAGAGTTTTCCGTCATTGGTGTTATATGCTTTGTCACTATGTTACATAGTAGCGCTCAGGAATCCTTCGCCAAGATGCATTCTCGCCCATATTCCTAGTTGTTTTTTGGCAGAACCTTCTCCACCCTTTTCCATAGTGACCTCTATGCAGGTGAATGTTGTCTCTCCGTTTAAAGCGCGTCATGCTGTCAAGGGCGCTCTTGCACAGTTGAGGTGCGATGCTTTGGATCGCTCTATTGCTAGAAGACGAAACCAGTGTGGTGCAGGTGCCATGCGGTCGAATACGCATCACCTTCTAGAATCTAACTCTATACATCAGCCTTCACCTGTAGTTCCACCTCTTTTACGAACGAACGTTACAGAGCCTCCGCCTCATTTCACGCATACTGGCTGATACTTTGGATCGAAACCGTTTCCGGCAGGACGCCACACATATGTTGTGCTGTACTCTCCAAACAGCGTAAATTTACTTTCGTCGCTAAAAATGACCTTGAAGCTCTGTGGGGATCGCCAGTTCAGATGTACGCAGACTCATTTCATTCCCTATCACTTCGGCGTCAGCAATTTCATTATGATTTTTTTTCATCTCCGACATCTGGGTCGCGATGACCGCACAACCACACTGGACTCGTACTCAAGCGCGCGAGCTCGGCATTCAACGGTGCGAGCACGGGTCTTGACAGTATGGCGCGCTGAACGGAAGGAGGAATTCAGTTAACTACCCGAGTGGTATATAGAAAAGAGGTATAGGGGAAGGTTTAGGCAGAAAAAAGAGCTGTAGACAATGGGAGAGACTCGTGCAACTTTCGACGAAAAAGTAATTTTTCGTAATTTTAATTTTCTCAATTTTGTTTCAATTTATTCCTTATTTTTTTCAAAATGTATTAAACCCAAAAGATGGTGCATATTGATGGGTACCTTATTGTTAGGCGCTCCCTGTTCAGGTTTCAAGCAACTCCGATACCTCAGACAGACATCAAGCTACATTTCCGTGTTTTAACATTTATAAGAGCATGACGCTTTGAGTTTTTATCTGCTTGTGGGTTGTTGGTGGCGTTTGCATGTGAGTTTTTTAACTCTCATTTTAAAATTGTTTCTTACTAGAAACCATTTACTAATCAATGTTGCAATTTTTGGGGATTGAATTGTTGCCTCTAATGGGTATATAGAGACTTCTAGTTATCGGATTTGTCCTCAGCTAATTCTCCATCAAACATAATATGTAGCTTTTGGGAGATTTGCTGTGCTTCAGAATATTATAATATAGGAAAATTTTAACTGATTTGATTTAGCAGAAAAAGCCACGGCTGAAAATGCAATTGGCCAAAGATTTTTGAGCGCTATTGACATTAATATCCTTCAATTGGAGATAGATTCTCAAAGTCTGACAAAAGAGATGACCTTAACGTTCTCGGCTAGAGTTTTGGCGTTTTGTGGGTAACTTTGAACGGGTTTTACCAAGCGGTTCCAATGAATTTGTTCGTTCATGCGGTTCTTGCCATGTTGCTTGATAACTAACTTTTCTACGTATCAACTCTAAGTGAATTCGAACAACATATCACAATGGAATGTTGTTCCTTTTTCACAGTATTCCGTTACACCATAATTCCAGATCCTCTTGCCTGTTCCTCAATCCATTTCGATGCATGTTTGCACGCTATTTGCTGCGCAACATTAACTGCACACCATAGCACTCATCGTATGCAGTAGTACGTAGTACGTATTATAGTGGTACTCATTGTTCGATAGCATAGTATTGAGACGTGATGCCCTTTTCTCAACTTTTCTGAAGCAATATTAAATTTTATCCAAATTTCAGCATTAAATGTCTGCCAACGGGCATACCGATCGATCAGATGAAATTATCGCTGGAATAATTATGTTTACGGTGAGTTCCGAAGTGTCGAATCTCCTTCCGATAATACTCAATCTCCTTTGAGTGGAATGTGTACCTTTACAAAAGAACCGGACTCCAATATCTTTCGAGAAGGAGTAATTAGAATTAGAATTGGTGAAAAAGAGAAGGTCTAAGGTTAAGGTGCTACGCCATGCATCTTGATTCAACTGGAAAAAAACGTAGATCTTCCAATTACTCGTGTATTTTGAGCAAGGGGGAATCACGCTTGTTTTCAGTCAAAATCCGCGGTATCACAGGTAGTAGCCAATGTTTTCACTTCATTACCTCTGGAATTTTCAACTTCGAATTGTGCCTGCCTAGATTTTTTCATGACTTCTGGTGCACAAGGTATTCTGGTAGGGAACCGAGTCCCTGAACAGATGACAGCATTTTCCTGGGTATCGTAAAGACTTGAGTTTACCTCCGCGTGTAAATTCAACTCAAAAACCATGCGTAATACAGTACCCATACCATATTTTAAGTGCAAAATACTGACACCTCTTTTTTCGAATGAATACATCATCGGAGCAAAGGCTAATTGAATTCGCGTCTTTGTGAAAGATATCACGCCAATGCTACTTTTCCCTCAAGCAGTTATTCGGTAACGTCAAGATTTAAGCTATTCTCAAGGGCGTTTCTCTCATTAGCACTCAGAACGTGACTGCACCGCCGACGAAGGCTTTACCGATTTGTTATCATAGGTGCTCGCTCCAAATGCGATCCAAAAGCATAACTCTGCCGTTCAGTGCAGCGTTCTCGTCTCCTTCTTGCTGAGACAGGCGACTTCAGATTCTCTAGTCTATGGCAATCACTCAAAATCAGTTCTCGGCTTCTTAGATAACGATTCAGTAGATGTTTGATTCACTTGAGCATCATTTGAACCAGGCGGCGGTCGCGCATTAGTTAACTCCGCTAACCAGACTGTCACAAGCACAACCACTGATTCAAAATATGGCTTGTGGGCAGTTGTGCTCACTGACAGTAACAATGAGATGGAGCCTGGGTCATTCAAACTGGCGCCTAACGGCCATTCCTTCTCTCTTCCAATCTAGTGGAGAATCCAAACATCCAGTCGAAATCTGCTTCCTGTGAACATAAAACCCACTGAAATTTTCCTCAGCAGAATCTCTAATGAGGTGCTTTTGAAAATGCTCATCTGTAAATAATTGCTCTAAAAAGACTACTTCATTACGGTCTTACTATCATAGTATTGTTGTGAATTGTGTCACGTTTTCTCATTATCAACCAACAGAATCAAAATCAAGATGCGCTTCCTTGAACAGTTTCAGTTGTTTATCCAATTTTTGATACAGCGAAAAGAATTCCGTAACCTTGAAGTGGACTTTCGCTAAGGTTCATGCATCAGCTCGGTCACGCATCTCGAATTCACAGCTAGGCACCCATGTGCTATCACTGGGCGAGGATAATAACTTCCATGGCGCACCTTTAAGAGTAGTAAATGCAAAACGATTTTCATTTACATAGAATTTATTTGGATAAATTTAAAAAAGCCGGAAGGTACAGGTGTCGATATCACTGGAATGTTTCTGTAAGACAACTTAGGGAACTGCTTCCACCCGCCTATAGACTCGTCCGTAAAATCTCTCTTACGATCAATTTGTATAAGCATCGTTTCTGTGGTAGATTCAGCAGCATATCCACCTCACCGTTTTAGGCTTTATCATGGCCGAAATTATGCAGTGACCACGGTCTTCTTTGAAGGTTAAACGATAAGAGGGTAAAGCATTTCGTCGTTGATCAATCCCTTTGTTGGGATGCGGCACGCATTCTACTTCCATTTGTACATTCGTAGTGGCGTTTGAATGCGATGTGGCCTATACAATGACTTGCGGGGGCCAGCCGATGTTCAAGTCAGTGTTTTTATCCTCCCAGACAAGTCTGGTACCAATTAACCGACCCCGGAGGGATGGAAGGCTTGGTTGGCCCGGGCGACTCACGACCCAGGATTTGATCCCCGGACCGCTCGCGTGGTAAGCGTGCCACTTGCCACTACACCACTTTCGTCTGCTTGAAGGATACTATTAAAATTATTGTTTGAGTTGATAGGGGTGCCGAACTTTAGCACAAGATCCACACTTGTGCTTACTTCACATCTTTGTCTCACACATTGGGGGAATGCCTGTAAGATATTTATTTATTTATTTAGCTATTGTTTACAAATAAAGTGCAGGAATGTAATGAATAATCAATTGAAACACAAGATGACAATAGCTAAAAGTGAAAAAACTGCAATAAATGGATGATATTGACAGAGATATGAATCACAGAAATATAAATTAGAAGCATGTCTCATAAGATAGGAGGCATCAGATTTCAAGGAGTTGCATAATTAGGACCTGCTCCAGCGGTCACGGGAAGGAGTTGGGAACGGTGGAGTTAAGCGGAGGGAAGAGCCTCACCTAATTGGTTGAGTTGTCTTATTACCCTTATCCTTAACGATGTCAAGCAGAGCGGAAAAATCAAAGGGTTTAGTAAAGAAAAGAATTATAATATTAACAAAATATTCGCGATATGATCACATTTACATTTTGAATACAATTTACGAGACATTCAAGTTAGTGCCTGCATTGGGTATCGTCTTCGAGGGAAGAAAAGCAAGGCGTTTACCCTCAAGTCAGAATTTCATTCGTGAAAAGTTAAGCTTTTTTCAATTATTGGGGGGGGAAGTAAGGGCGAGAGGTGTGTCTGGGTAGTTAAGCAGGGAGTGAAGCAAGAAATTCATTCGAACGGCCCAGGACCCAAAAAGGATGACAACCCCTTTTTGTCCTTGATTCTTGATTTACGCATTGAGCCTTTACTCACCGCCTGTTGCCCCTCTTTCAATCACTACGCTTAGTCTCTTGCCTATTTCATCCACTTCGGCACGGTACAAACCTGCGTTCCGAGGGATACATAAGTTGTGGGGCGTTCCCGCATCGCGGTTAAGGTAAGGCCATGCTGGATCTCGAGGTCTTTTCGCTGCCTATTGCACGTTGGTCAGCACTCTCAAAAGGTCCGCCTTTCCTCCCAGCTATGCGTTACCCCTTCTTTGACCTTCGCTCTTGTCGTAATCCCTCCTTCAAGGGGTAAGGTGAATGTAAAATACTATAGAAAAGCTAAGTGACTAAAAAACGCGGTGAAATATATCACCAACTTTGAGATCCTTCTCGGTTCCTTGAAATTTGTCCACGAGTGTGTATGTTGAATACATATAACAAATGATCGCAGTTCTAGCCCTGCAGCAGTACACGGTTACATTCAAAATCAAAGGCTCCCTATCACATCTCACGGATGGGGATCCACTTCCAAATGCTTGCACTTCCTAACTTCGGACGAGTGTGTGTGGTGCATGTCAGAATAATGGGGTGTGTTTATCGTAGGATGCTCACATTTCAATTTTTACGGGAACGAATATTTTAAGAAAATCCAAGCGTCATCAAATTATATTCAGGTGAGCGTTGTCGGAAGTGTGCTGAATGTCTCGGCTGTCGTGCTGATCTATCGCACGCCATGGTTCCACAATGCGTTCGGTTTCATTTGTGCCTCGCATTTGCTGGCCGATGTTGGTGTCCTCGTTATTTTCATGTTCTGGGCCGCTCCGGCGGCGTTATTGTGAGTTTTAAAAGAAGAGAAGAGAGACAGAAGGCTTATCTAAAACCCGGCGCGAATTATGATACAGTTTTTTTCTCTTCAATTTACGTGTTCAATACTCGAAATATGTCTGAAGCCGACTATAAAAGCCTGTGGAAGGTGGAATATAAAGGCAAACGTCGGGATTAGTTGACCAAACCAACCCTTTCGGTCATCTCTGTACTTGGTTACGCACCAGTACAGATGTTCCCACGCTCAAAATCTCGAACGGCGCGGTAATAAGCCCCAGGGCATGTACTATGCGCTATCGCCGCCTGGCCCCGCTACGACCGCCCACCTTGGAGATTGTGGCTGGCATAACGTGTGAAACAGCTAGGTTGATTGCCGTATCAACCGATAGAACGACTGATATCTCCAGAAAACTTGTTTGTACGTGCCTCTTTCCCAAGCCAGCCTCCTTCACTGCTAGTGGGAAAGAGGGTTTTGTTAACGGCCTTGTCGACGGTTTTTCTCAGTTTTTTCTCCACTGTCGTTCCACTTCGCATCTCTATACTCAGTTTCAATCGCCATAATACCCCCTTATTGAGCCCGACTTTTGCCTTTAACGATTTCTCAGCATCTAAACTGGCTGCTCAGAACTCTGCTCCAATCTTACGGAAATAATGTGTCACTGAGGCCAAGATCAGCCTCCTGCTGAAGCGAAAGGGTAATGGTCGCATCTGCGGTTTTCAAATGGGTGATGTCGAAATGAGACGATAAGAGAAGTTCCCTTGGAACGTAGGAGAGTACTACATTCCCACTCCAGGGACCTTTTGGTGATAGGAGACTTGTGGCCCCTCCAGTTGTTGTCTTAATTTTCTGGATTCTTCTCGTTTTTGAGCGCGGTGTACACATCGCAGTAGTTGCAGTAGTTCCGTGCATACATGTTACGTAGCACTGCTCGTTTAACAGTGTTGGGGTGGCCGGCAGTGCGTGAATCATAATATTTTTGGAGCTTCCTTTCTATACCATTTCACTTTGTATGAACCATTGGTTACCTTACCTGTGTGTTCAGATACGGTGTCCAACCATCGCGCGGGACGTGGGATTCTTGGGTGAGCATGATGTACGCGACTGACTGTTAACAGCTTCAGCGTTCAACATGTAACGCCTTGTGCAGTGGGAAATCTGGGAGACATTAGGTGTGCGCATGAACGATCGTTTGGCCGGTGACGAAGGGACCGCTAGACAAGCACAAACGGGAATATCATGAGGGTTGTGACTTCACGATTAAATGCACGATACTGGCCTACGAGAGCGATATCGGTGCTAGGAAAACCCTTGAGGCCTTTCTGGATAAAACAACGTAATCCGAGTATGAATAACAGGAATGAGTGCATTTCCATAACTGATGATTTCTTGCCATACATTCCGCTTTGTGAGCTCTGATTGGAAAACGTAACGTACTGCACGTACGCATTTTACAAGCAGTGCACAACCGGTCAGTCTCCCTTGCTCCATTGTTCTGAAACTGAGCGGCCCGTACTGGTTGAAATAAGGTGAATTGACGTTCTTCGGCCGCCCACTCCATTTGTAGTAGGCAGGGGTGAGCTGTAAAATCCGGTGCGACTGGCTCTGTGTTAAGCGGGATTGTAACATTGCAGGAAGTTTCATGATGATTTTAGGCCCTTGAGGACGCCGAAGTTGTCATAATGTCAGGAGTTACAGATATTTCATCATAACAAGCCTGTGAGGCGGGGAGGTGACAATAACACGTGAAAAATGCCGAGTTCTCTTGAAAGGAGGTGGCTACAGTTTTCAACAATTCCTCCAGCGATACTCCATCGCATTTTCCAACCTCGGCGATGACATTTGAAGGAAATTTATGATGAAAAGGGTCCATTAAGAACAAGGGAGACGAAGTCAAGATCGAGGTGATCAAAGATGCAGGGATGGCAAAAAAGGTAAGGAAAGAAACCCGGAACCAGCGAAATGAATCTTTGCCGGTTGAATAGCGTGTAAGACGTGTTTCAACGGTGCTGGCCTCATTAATGCTCCCCCCTCTGCTAGCGCGGCTAAAGACAGATGACAAAAGGCCAGCCAATCATTGGGATTGCAACGACGCGAGCGGCCGGGTAGGCCCGACTGGACTGCTGAGGGCGATCCTTCACTACGAAACGCACATCGTCGCGCCCTTGCGAGGGACTGCCTACATTTCCACTAGTCATGTTTCCCCTTCCTTGACCTTCGACTTTATCGTGGAATCCTCCTGCATTTCTAACGAGCGTTCTCAGCTTTCAAAGTCCTACAAAGGTAGTGGTTGAAAGTAATTTTTCTACTGATCCTTTTCTGAGCGTTTTCCAAGCCATCAACATGTGCACAAAGAAAGCAAGAGAACAAACATCACCACCACCATCATCACCGATATTTGATTCACAACAACAGCAAACTAGCTATTTTCCACTTAGGCCAACAATTCCTAATGACTCGAGCAAATTCATCGTTACCTTGCACGGAACTCTGCAGTATTCAGAGATTATTAAGCATAAAATATCCCTCGAGGACGTTCGAGGAATGAGGAACAACTCCGTTGCTGAGTTCTGGTTATGGCTGAATTCATATAAGCTCATTTGCAAATTGATAACTAAGCTTGATAAGTTGATAACAGATTAACAATTTAATTCACTCAACATCCACATTCCTCACGTACCTTCTTGGAAAAGATCCACGTTTTATTTTCAGGGGCTATGCTGAAGCGATAACTGAGTCATACTTCGGCGAAAGAATGGGTCAACTTACAATGGTGTTCTGGTACGCTGCCATATATGGACAACTACAAATTGCTCTCAATCGACTTATAGCTATTTTATCTCCGATGTTGTACAAGTTCGTTTATTGAACGAAGTGTTCCCTTAAAGCGACTCGAATTCATACAACATCTTACAGTAGGACGTTTTCGATACGGAGGACTAAACAAATTTTGGCCGCATTCTGGCTACTCTCTGTTGCTCACGTTGCTGTATACTTCTTGGGTAAGATTTACAGGAATCAATTTAATCCTTCTTCAAGTAATTGAAAAGAACGGCTACTAGGAATGCGGCCTAACGACTTCTCTATTCGAACATTTAATATGTCATATTTTGTAGTACCTGAAAACGTAGCGTAGAGGAAGTTGGGATCATTACCATACGCTCGGGCTGAAGAGCCAATCCTGGATCAAGTCCAACGCTAGCTAACTATCATTGATAACCAGCTTTCACTCTTTCAGTAAAGGTTCGTTGGGGAGAGAGTTACTCAAGAGAATAAAGCATTGCTTCCTCGGATAACCTTCACCAGATATTAACACATTCACGCCGATGGCCGCCCATATGGGCTGCCAACAACATGCGCTCCTGGGACGATGGCAGCCCATATGGGCTGCCAACTGATAATCGCTTGCCAGGCGCTAGGAATGGACAGATAGGTGGGCAAACCTCGTAATCGAGTGTAAAATGCTTTTAAATTCCTTCACGGGGAAAGTGAATAAATGCTCTCTTTTCGTAACCACTATTTGTCGTTCTGATCGAAATCCTACTGTTATATGTTTAGATAATCTTTACGCATTGGACATTGCAGAAATTATTTTGTGACATTCATGTTTTTGTTCATTTACAAAACAAAATCTGCGGTTATGTGGTGAGGCGGCGGCGCCCACAAAATCGCGTCCGTCCCACGCGACCGAAAAGTGGAAAAGGGGCGTCGTCGTGAATGTGTTAATGGGCCAAAAACGCACTAGGGCGATGTCAGACTTTGCGAATCGAGCGATTCGCTAGCGTGCACGGTTGCGTCGGGGCGAGCGAATCGATTGACTGAGCTTCCCCACAGAAGACCCCTCGTGCGGCAAAAATGCGTCAAGAGGACGAGTCGCAGTGCGTGCTATGCAATATAGGACGTGCATTGGCACATACTGTTTAAGTTGACGCGAAATCACTGCAGGCTTCCTGTCGGGTACCCGACTGACTGCTAACGCAAGGCGCCCGCATACACCAATGGCTAGTAGCCAATCGCTCGACTTGCAAAGTCTGACATTGGTCTAAGTTGTCCATGTGATCCCGAATGCCAATTAAATATAGGGGCGCGCCAAAAACCGGTCAAAAAGAGAGACTGTCCTTCTTGGGAAATGTACCTTCTGTATTACAATGAAGGCTCGTGTTGCGGAGCAATTCTCTCCGAGAGTGAAGAACCAGGAATTCTGAACACAGGACTTGTGACTCTATCGCGATTCAAAAGTTCAGGGCCCCAGGTCTTGCCTTCCCGTGCGACTGCTGTTATTTTTACTCGTGTGCAATGCAGCACGTTGTCGGCTCCCTATCGTACGACCTCCTTCTTCCCTTACTCCATCTCCTCGCTGCGAGGTCTCTTCCACCAAATCATGGTTGCTCGCACATGGAAAAAGATCTTAATTCAAGAATCTCTATGGTTCCTTCTCTCTATGGTTCTTTTTGCCTCACTTCATTCTCTTCGTCCATTTTCGGGTGGAATAGCACACCGATTTCATCGCGACCCATGCTTTTACGAAAAGTTCTAAGAAACTGGGAATAGAGTCAGTGAGCGAGACGAGTTCTTGCCCGATCTATTCATGATTCAAGAATTCTTTTGGTTTGTATTTTATGATTGTTTTGTTCTATAAGGTATAGATTTCTTAACTTCGTCATTCAAATGAAGATACTGTTTACAAAAATCACATAAAATAGCCTTGAAAGCAGAGACAACAGAAGTTTTAGATGGCTGTGATTTTGTGTTTGACATCAGTTCCTTCATATGGATATATGCTGACACCAAATGCGGCCTTGTTATATCTTTCTACATGGATTTCGTACACGGTACAACGTTGTGTACTATAGTTATCATTATTGAACACAATTCTTTTTTGCTGTATATAATATTCGAAGCCAAGGTGATTGTTTCATTATATTGCGCCGCTGAATCAGTCTAATCTATGCACACGCAGTGTCGCCGAGATAGACACTAATGGAAAATTAATTGGAGTTACTTTAGAAATTGTCCACCTCCATCGGTCGGGCACCTGAGGCGATGATGCTCAGGAAAAACACTCGTCTCTATATACAAGTGGGTTTTGTATTTTAGGTGGCTATGTTAGGCAAAGGGTACCACTACCAAGAAGTTCCTGAATATTTGGGAACAATAGCGGTGTGGAGGATAAACCACTACTGGGAGCTTGGCAGGGTCACCGGTCGCGCTGCAAATAGGCCAGATGTACGCATAAATGTAAACGCGATAAACTGTGGAGTTGCACTGGCGCATATCTTTAGCCTTCTTTCGTTTCTCTTTGCCTCCCGGTTCAAACGAAGATACAGGTCTCGCCGGTGTAAGCGGATGTGGTGACTCACTCCGGTAATCGCTCCCAGCTGCGCTTTCATTATCGGCAGTTCTCGCGATAATTGATACCGGTAAAGAGTGAAAGTAGATTAGCTAATGTGCGCGTCGTGAAAAGCAAAACAACAATCGGCGGAAACAAGGACCGACTGTTTACACGTTGGCTTTGGGAATGGACGAGATGAACCCCAATGTAGGGGACGTTCGGTTGAAGTTAAATATTGGCATCACTGCTCCGGTGGCCGGTCCAAAAGACCATTGAGGAAAGAAAGTCGAACGATGGCAGTGACGGTTTACCTACAAATACATTACCATTACAAGCCAAGTGGTTATAAAGCCATGTAGACCTCAGGCTAACCAATGCGTTTGGAGCGCTTATAAACAAGACCTCACCCGTTTTAGAGTGACATAGAGATAGAAGAACCACTTTAGGTAGCGTTGTAGAGGAAGCCTATAACCTTGGCCTGGGCTTGGACAGAGAAAAAGGAAGGCACGAGGAATGTGGAGACCCAGATGCCTCGTTGTATTTGTTTGTCTATGATGGCTTCATTGAGTAGTAGTTAAAGCCCTTGACTAGTAGCTAAAGGCCCAACCAAGGCAGGAGAGAGGTTGCGATTCCCTTTGCTCTGAAGGATGGACTCCTAGAGGAAAATCACAGATGTGGCATTCCTGTGCACGTGGATCACTCGACAAGAGCGCAGGGGCACTGCAAAGCAGTGTAGCAGCTGCATTTTCTCTTTCAGCAGGCCGTGCTGAAAGAAGAATGCAGCTTCAGGCCTGGTATCTTCTCATAGGTTGCGCTCTCTCGCCTCATGCTTTGCTCTCTTACCTTAGTTTTTCACTGTCTTATCACAGCAGGGGCGTAGACCCTTAACCCAAGGTTTTGGACGGATTTCCTCCCTCTCTATTTACTGCTGGCTCACTTCGTACGAATACATTCGTATCATTGTGCAAGAACTACACAATTTTGGCCCTAGGGCATGCCTTCGAACCCTACGCGAACACACATGATAAATATGCACACGAATGGAAGCAGATTAACCATAGTACCCATTCACACGGGCAAGATCGTGTAATCGTTATATCGAACACCCGCCTCAATAGGATTTAAAGGAGGAATTCACGATTAGAATGAAGGTCGAAGAAAGGGAAACTGACCTAGTTGAGGGACCCACGGACCTCCTGAGGGTGCGAACTGACGCGCAATTCGCATGGAAAAATTTGACCTCGGCGACCTATCATGCCTCAAAGCTGGCGGGTCCGGCGATCTCCGCCCACCGATCATCTGATCACTCGCCGTAGTTCAATACGTGGCGAGTGATTAGATAGCTGAGAGAGCGT